CATTTCCCTGCTGTAGCCGATGACTTACAATTTGGTGTGGAGCCGTAAACTATGTTTTGTTTCCCTTTAAACACCCTTCTTGTAGTGGACAATTCCTTTAAATACCCTTCTTGTAGTGGACAAAAAAACTCACGTAAAAAAACATATTTAGATGGAATATTGCAAATATTTCAGTCAAAATGTAATAGATGATATTCTAAATAATTCTGATGAAAATATACTTTATTGAAATTGAATGCTTTTATCAGGAAATGAAGAAAAACTTTTGATAATGCGTTTCCATAATATATTAGGTCTACCCAGAAGAAAACATGTCTGCACTAATTGCAGAATAATAGAACTTGAATTGTACAATAACATTTTTTGGGGTATTTCCACATTTCAAATTGTTGTTTTGGACTTGTAGGGGCGGAAGTTTTCAGTTCAAGGTCTTCTAGGGCAAGAGATAAGCGCGGGTGCTTTTATGGATGGGACGTTGGTGATATTTCGTCTGGCACCACAAGTATTTACCTTATTTTCCCTATACATAACAGGGTGCTATATTTAACCTTATCATTTATTATCAGCTAAGCAGGGTTACTATGTTTCAGGATTATCATCGCTTCCATTTTCCAGTCTCTGGATTCATTGAACAAATTGTAGACATACCTGGATGCCTGTATACTGTATGTTTATTGAATGCATAAAAATCTTGCTTCGTTTTTTTTTTTACTTTTTTTTTTTAAACATGATTTCAGATCTTTCACTTTCCACTAAACTTTTTTTTTTTTTTTTTTTTTAATCCTTGCTAGGTTAATCCAATTGCTGTCAATAGCAAGTATTGCAATGTCTTCACAGAAAACAAGCGATCAGTAGCTATAATTTCATCTTCTGATTTTGGCAAGGTTTATCCTTTTACTTTTGGTCTTTTTAAATATCTGAGAACACTGTTTACTACTTCCAGATGTTGGTTATAAGGCGAGTGCACAAATTAGTTAGTAATATTTATATGAAAAAGATTGTTTTGTGTGAAAGAGAAATACTCTATGTTAGCCCGAACTTCAGTAATATGTCCTGATTTCTAATCGAATGGTATGGAATTGTGTACAAACTTGCATCCCACTATGTGTTATTTGTTTAAGAGATCAAGCATCTGTATATATATATATATACATATATATATATATTTAACTGAAATTGCTACGGAAGGAGACCTCAAGTTCTAATATCACAAGGAACCTCTTTTAAGTTTTAAGTACCTTTGTAACGTTAACAAACTCAATCAAATGCCGTTGTAGATGTATTAGTCTTATGATTTTATATTACTTAAAAAACTTAAGCATATTACTTAGGTTATGATTTTCTTTTTCCGACAATTTTCTTGAATTTGCTGCATTCGTTGGCTTACTGTCAGCTGTGACTTTCATATTTGTTGAGTTGTTGTTTGCCAATGGCTTGCTAGTATAATATATTAGGCACTTAGTTATTTTATATTTCCTGACCTCTTATCTATGGAGTTGAAAGACAAAAACACCGAATTATTCTTTTAACAAAGAGTATCCCCATCTACTATAGGTTTCTTTTGTTGCAATTGGAGCTACCATGGTTGGCAGCATAACCTTCACAAAAGGGAAGGGAGATTATGTAAAAAAAGGAGAAGAGGTAAATTTATGATAGATACCTTCTTCATATGTAGCATACTTACGATGGCTTAGCTTCTAACTGACACGCTTTTTCTGCAGTTTGGGTATTTCTCTTTCGGTGGAAGTACTGTAATTTGCGTATTTGAAAAGGCAAGTGTTCATTTAATTTGTCGTAATTTAAATTTTTGTTTCTATGTCCATTAATTCAATTACTTCATACCAACCACGTGGAGGTTGAAACTATTTCACCTGACATAGCAGTACTAAGGGAGATGCTGAAGCTATTTTTTGTTTTTTTTAGAAAAAGCTTGCATTGATGGAACTCTTTGGAAGATAACTAAAAATTTCAAACTGAAGTGATTGAAAGTTTGGGAAATCTTAGAAGTTTTTTTTTCCTTTAGATCTTTTTTCGCCTGAAGTATTTATGAAAAGAAGTTGGTATGCTTGGGTCAAATATTCACATTTTCAGAAGAACAAGAATACAGCATTTATTTATGCCATCTGCTAATATATCAGAAGAATCGAAAGGCAACAGTATAAATGTTCATATTTCAACAACACAAGCATTGTGGAACTGAAAGTTGGTCAAAATTGGTTTCTACAATCTTACAGCTGATGATGTGCACTTTTCCTAGCCATTCAGTGTGTCGAAATAAGCGCTTTTTAAGTGAATCACTTATTGTATGTGTACTTTTTATAGGAAATTTGTTACATGCTTCATCCAAAAGCACTAAACATTTTTTTTCTATAAAATTTCAAACCACTTTTGATCATCACAATTTCAAAACTCCCTTTTAACTGATCAAAAGCCCTTTTTACCTCTCTAAAATTTTAATCACACTTTTAGTTTTCTTTAAGCACTTTAAAAGGTATGTGAAAGACACTTCATCTACATTTTGCCTAGTTTTTCCTCATGGATGTGTGTTCCCATAAAATTAAGTTGTAGTCTCACACACCTGATCATAATTGATATTTAATCACTAAGATTTCATAATTATGGGTAGTACTTTTGGAGTACTTGTGTGTATATTTCCATCATTATAGTTGGTATTTGTGTACTTTTATCTGGATTTACAAATAAGCATAGTTCAATTAATTTGATCAAGCATGGTTATCGCTATGGATATGAATTTGAAGCCACCCTCCAAATGTTCATTGATTTTTCACCTTTTATGCAGCCTATATTACTTGACATGTGATCTATACATTTTTTTCGCTCCTCTTCCCCCAGCTATGTGTTTTGTTTACAAACCCATTAGCTGATGTAGCCTATCATGTTTCGTGTATAAACAAAGATCCAAACTTATTTACCTGCATATGAATTAAAAGTTCCTATTCTATTCTGATATTTAGTTTTGAGGTACAATCTGGAAATTTTGATGCAGGACTCGATCCAGATAGATGAGGACCTGTTAGCAAATAGTTCCAGATCACTTGAAACTTTGGTTCGTGTTGGGACTAAGCTTGGTGTTTCTACTAGAAGAGTTTCTCAAGCTGATTTGCCAGATGTAAGACGCTGTGCCTTAGATGACTGAAAATGAGCTCATCAGTGTATGTCGTTTTCTACCTTGTTCATAGTTGTCTTGAGTATTTTCTGAAACTGTCAATTCCCTCTATTTACTCTGATATTGTCGCCATCCCACGGAGGCAGAAGAAAAAACAAAAAAGGGCAGATCTGATTGATTTTGTGAATACCAATAAAACCAACTGTGTTGTATGTTGCCTGCATTGATTTTTGTATTTCATTTTCTTTAGGTCTTGGAAAGACATATTTGGCTAATTTGGATCATTTATGAAAATGGATATTAATTTTCTTAAGAAGCAGGAAACCTTTCATTCCAAATGATCAAGAAGAATATAAAAGAGAACTTCATTTCTCTTTATTCAACAGTTATCAGAAGTAGAGTGGTGCCATGTTAACTCACTAATTCACCACTTAGATCTTGTTGCCTTCACTCGCTCATAACTCTTATTTCCAGGAGTTATTTATGCATGTTTCAAGCTTAACTGACTTGAAATTGTGAGAAATTTGTGATGTTTAAGTTTTTTGTTGTGGTTTATGTACGTAAAAGAGTTGCAATAACATAATGTCATAGGGCTAAACTCATGCATACTTTTTAGTGAGATTCCAATCGGTTGGGGAGGAGAACAAAACATTGTTTATAAGAGAGTGAAAACTTTTCCCTAGCAAACATGTTTTAAAAACCTTGAGGGAAGCTTGAAAGGGAAAAAGCCCAAAGAAGACAATATCTGCTAGCGGTGGGCTTGAATTGTTACAAATGGTATCAGATTTAGACACCGGGAGATGTGCCAGCAAGGAGGTTGAGTCCTAAAGGGGGATGGACATAAGACAGTATGCCAGCAAATACGCTAGGCCCCGAAGGGGGGGTGGATTTGGGGGGTCCCACATTGATTGGAGAAGGGAACAGTACCAGAGAGGACACTGGTTCCGAAGGGAGTGGATTGTGACATCCTACATCGGTTGGGGAGGAGAAGGAAGCATTCTTTATAAGGGTGTGGAAACCTCTCCCTAGCAGACGTGTTTTAAAAACCTTGAGAGAGAGCCTAAAAGAGAAAGCCTAAAAAGGACAATATCTACTAGCGGTGGACTTGGGTTGTTACATTTCTAGAAATGTTATCTAAGAAAATCCATATGGGACATTCTTAACGAACATTTCTTTTTATCTTCCAGAGCAGATTATCTATGTTTTTCTGCCATCGCAGGGTACATTGATCTTGTCTTAGCAATAGTGTTATGAATTGAGTGCATTATCAGACTCATTTTCTTCCCTGATTTTATTTTCCTAGAAAAAACAAGCTGGTCCAACAAAATAGTGTTTAGTGAATGACTCGACCTATGTATCCGGTATTTACACACTACTTCGAGGTGTAAATCACTGAAACTCTTTATCCTGCCCGTGTTAATGAAAGGATCTCATTTTGAATTTTGACCTTGCGAGCACCCACTCAAAATAGGGAGGGAGGGCGCACTATCGCGAGAGAAAGAGCTCTAACTACTGTACAATCAATATCTCGTTACCCCATGCCTACAATATAGTTAAAAGCGACCGTGAGTGCTGTTGCATGAGTATACTGACAAGAGAGGAAACTACGAAGTATAATGGATTACAGGAGACTTTTACAACTAGGAGATAAGAAAATTAAATAAACACAAATCTATTGTTAAATAAATTATTTATTTACCTTGTGTCATCCTACCAAAAGTAATAGCACATACAAACACTGTATTGTCGTCTTTTACTGAGTAAAGCACAAGAAAAAAGAAAAAAAGAAACTAAGGACCATAAATTACAAGGTGAGTTAATGAACCGTTAGAAGCTCATACGAGAGTTGGTTTAACTGCCCTAACAAGTGAGCCAAAACCCTAGTAACTGTGTGTGTAGCCTCCTGTATAAGGGTTGGGCTGTATTTGTCTCCCATCCCTTGCATATTGCTGCCACATGAGCTTCTCCTCCACCAACAGCTTCTGCTTCCTCTCCATCTCCGATATCTGAACATATGCCGGAGGTGCCACAGCCACCGATGCGGCAAACGGGTCGCTCATGACTGAGGATGAGCTCACCACACCTCCTTCCGAGGTCGAAGGGGCTGGCAATGCAAGCATGGCTGGCCTCCCTGCAGACCCAAGTGCCATGCTGCTTGCACTGCCACTCACCCCATAACCTGAGCCAGCCACTGTTGGCATCCTTGTTGTTTGCTTATACATGCCATCCAAAAGAAGCATATCAAAACCTCCACCAAGGTCAGTTCTTTGATTTGATAAACTGCTTGCTGATTGAACCAATGCAGTTTCCCAATCTGGTGTGTCGTCGCTAAAGGCTTCCCACGGTAGAGCTGGTACCGAAGCGTCGATAATCGGAGCACTTCCATCGAATAAAGCAAACGCCAATTGCTCTGCATTTTCTTCTCTTGTCATTTGATGCTCCTCATCAAGGTTCAAGAAATCACCCATCATAGGATGATGTTCATCCCTCTTCTCTTTTGCTTTCATCTCATTATTTTGATTCTCTTCGTTCACTAATAATGCTATTTGTTCTTCCTTGAAGCTCTCAGGTGGTGGAAGAGCTTTAATGGAATTCATGTCGTGTTCGTGTTTGTGTTCTTGTTCTTCGTCTTCGTCTTTGTCTTCGTCTTCCTCTGTGATTTCCACTTCATCTCCTCCATTTCTTAGGCATTGAGCCAAGGCAGACTTGTCCTTGATAAACTCATCCATGACTTCGAGTTTCTTGGGAGTAATCTTTTCGACTTCTGGGTACTCTGTAGAACGAGCAATTCCAATGCTTCTACACCAAGAATAGAATATTTCTAGTTCATCAAATTGCTTCCCAACACGACAGAAAATCTCATATACTCTGACACAGTCGCGGATCTTCAAATCCATGAAACGATCAATTAGGATTCCCATAGTTTCGGTTATGTCATAATATATTTGGAAACTCTCCTTTACGATCGGATATAATGCCACTAACACCACTCTGTTTATCTTTGCAGCACCTATACGTAAGAAAAAAAAAAAAAAAAACTAATCAATTTCATCTACTTTAACAGCCATGAGTTTCAGGTTTTATATATATATATTTGATGGGAAAATAACGGTAAAGACGAAAAGAAGAAAACGAATGGTCTTTGAACTTTTCAAAATGTTCATTTAAATTATCTACTCTCGGTTTATTTTGGTCTCTGTATTTCAAAATATTCATTTTGACAAATTTAGTCTTATTATTCTAATTTTTTTAATTAAAATTTTAACGTTTAGGTTAAATTTTATAAATAGATATAAAAAGTTAACCATTAAGGAAAAACAATTTCAAAGTAAATAAATCAATCTCCTCTCTTCAAAATTTAAAAGAACATATGCAAATACATACATGAAACGAACCTGTTGGACGACAAGCCAAAAAGCGTTCAAGAAGCTGTTGCAAATGTTGTGTCTTTGAAAATATTTGTTCAGTTGTCATTTCATGTAACGGTGTGACTCTTATCACAATGACCTTATTATTATCATTGTCATCGTCATCGTCATTGTTGGTATTACTACTATTACTCTTTCTATTACTATTTTGTTGTTGGTCTTCTTCCTCTTGCAATCCAAACGCACTCCTTCTCCCCCTCCGACTTTGCATCCTATACTCAAGCCTTTCATCAAGGTACAAAGCATAAGTACGAACAAACGCAGAATAATCCCAAGAATTCGATTCAGAAGTATCCCTAAAATCCGACATGTTTAGAAACCTCGTCCCACGCCTCGTCGAGAAAAAGATCTCTTGCTCGTAAGCGGGATCCCCTTCCGACACCAAACGTTGTATTAACATTAGTGTTTTGAGTGCCACCGTCCAATCCTTTGTCTTGTTCAATCGCCTAGACAACGTATTAACACATGCACTTATGTAAGCTTTTGAGTAGCATGTGAGGCTTAGAATCTCTCGCACATGGCGCTCCTCAGCTGGGTATTCTTCATGTCGTGTGGCTTTCACGATGGCCACTTCCAAATCCGACAAGGAATTGCTGCTACCCACCTTGGCCAACCCTATGCTTGTCTTGTCCTTCACAGCTCCTAATGCTCTTCTAATCTTGCTTGGCGCCATGGATTCTTTGCTTCTTTTCCTACAATCTTTTCACTTTTTTTCTCCTCTTCTAACCTTTTCTTTGCTTTTTCTTGGTGGGTTTCTCTTTTCTTCCTCAAATTCAACGTTCCATCAACGTTTCATTGTCCATCATTTTCGCATCAAAAAGTGGGAGGCTTTGTAATGTGTTCATCATATAAGGCTATTTTAGTTTGTTTATTAATAGAACTTCAAGGATTTGAAAGAATATTTGGAGGGTTCATTTATGGAAACTTCACTTTGACCTTTTCAAATATATTCAAACCATGAAAACACAATTGTACACTCTCCTTTGACTCAAGTACACTATCATGTTGAGTTTGAAGAACTAAAAAGAATATACCTTGAGCAAGAGATCTCGATGGTCACACATAAAGTTTTTCAGGGGCGGAGATGCACGGAAAGAATAAAGCTAGGGAACTCTCTAGATTGACTAACGATCTCTTTAAATAAGGGCTTCTAACGATTTTGTTGTAGGCAGGCCAAGTCCAAGCCTTTGGACGTTGTTATAGATTACGTACATGATAACTTTTCCTTAATCTATTTGCTGTTAATTCATTAGATCTTTTGATACAAAATCAAGCGTCTTAATCATGCCACAAGTAGTTTACAAAGAATGATGAGTTCGTACTCTACCTGTTGTCCGAAATAACAAATGCAATTTTGTTGCAACTCATGCTTTGTTAGAAACCAGTCAAACTTCAAATTACTTCAAATAGAGCTTTAGTTACTCTTTGATTACAAACTTATGGTTTGGCTTATTAGAATATTAATACAAGGTTTTTGTTGCATTTTTAGTTTCAAATTATTAACTTTTTAAGTTATAATTGAGCTAGTGATCATAATGGTAGTGACGAACATCAGAATTACAATTGGTATTAGTAATTTGTAGCTAGTGATGAACATGAGAGTTCCAGCATGATATCTAGTGATCACTATCGAGAAAGAGGTGACCTTCAAAATAAAAAATAAAAAAAAAATACTACACACCCGTATGATGATTGTCACACATGCTTCGATAATCAAGTCAAAGATAGAGAACAACGATATTAGCAAGATTTAGGATTTTGAAGATTTTATTAAACACAAAATTTAAAGATTCGATATATTATACCATTTTTAAAATTCAAGAACTTATTAAATCATTTTTAAAATTTAAGGACCTACTAGATACCGACGTGAAAATTTAACCAAAATTAAACCACTTTAATTATAACATTTATTATTATTTTTTATAATATATCAAGTTAATGTTTTAAAAAGCATTGTTTACTCATTGAAAATAGAAATGTGTTTAGTTTGATTTGTTTGGTGACGTCATTATGTCTTGGTCAATAGAGGCATCGTCAAAAGTAACAAAAACTTTTTAAGACTAAAATGATTAGATTTCTCTCAATATCAAATGATGCAAAGCAACTCACCTTTGGAGTGATTTAAGTTGGGTTCTTGTTTGTAGTTGAGCCAAGACTCTAGATTTCTACTTAATTTGTGTCATGACTTCGACTTGCGATGTCGTCGTCAGCCGTACAGAGATACCTTGTTGTTACCTGAAATAGAAGTAGTACGTGAGTTGAGTCTTTTAAGAAATACTGATTGAGTTAGATGCAAACACATACAACCTTGAATGAGACCTATCCTTTCAATTTGTATTCTCTTAGGTGATTATCCTAAGCGGGTAATTGGATGTGTATTTATTATTCTACACATGGCACACACATGAGAGTATGGATCCATCAGTCGGTTCGCACACCTCTTGGGCCCCTTTCTTGGTCGAGCTTGGAATAGTGATCGTCGCAACATTATGATAAACATAATGAATGATCGTTTTCCTATCTTATAACGTACAAATACGTACCATCGTAAAAGGGGAGATTCCCCGATGCATGTAACACACAATGATACATGAGGTCCCAACATTTTCATTCATCAAATCATGTAAAACAACCACTTCCATTTTCCTTCATGTTGTATCATTTTAGAACATAGCCTTTAAGGCATGTATTAGGGTTGAAATATTGTATCATATCATACATCGTCTTATGTCATATCATGCACATAACATGTCCTTCGACATATCATATTATATCATGCACGTATCATATCGTAAAACATGTCACAACATGTATTATATCGCTAAGCGTGTTACACCATAACATATATTGTATCATCAACATATCACATCATAACACGTGTCATAACCTTAATATAACATATCATAGTCATATCATTTCATAGACGTATCATATTCATTTCATTTCATAGACGTATCATAGTCATTTCATTTCATAAAATATTTCACACATATCAAGCATATGACACATGCAAAATTATGAGGCACGTGTCATCATATAAACATTATCTTCTAACTATGTCGATAGTAAGGTCACTTTTCTTTATATGAAAATAAGTGAATTCAATCTCATGATATTATGTTCACAACTTCCTATTTGATAAGTCCTCAAAATGGGAAGTATATTGAATTGGCTAAAAGAGTCATTCTCACTCATGCAAATTAAAGGATAAACTCTAACAGATAGAAGTTCATAACTCACTCAGGATTAAGACTGAGGGTATATTATCATGTGAAATATTAATCTTCTCAATTAACGAATTTATAAAGAGAGATTAAATATTTCATAGTTTAGTCTTATACAAACTCATTGTATATGATACCCCTTCTCTTCTGTGATTTGGTTTCTCTTGAGATAGCAGGAGTATGGTATCGTTTGAAGTATTGAGGAAGCATGGCCTTGTGGGTAGGTTGAAGGTGCGAGAATTCCGACGAACCTTTTCTAGCGACTACAAGATTTTTTTTTTTTTTTTTTTTAACATAGTTCATAATTTATGTTTTTTTTTCCAATCATTTCATTCTTTTAATTATCATTTTTGGGTATTATTACCTTTTAACCATCTTTTAAATTAATTGGATTAAGTATTTTTTTTCTTTTTTTCTTTTTTAGTAGAAATAGATAAAGCTTTGAAAAAGATTTGAAAGGTATTATAAATATTTGGCTCTCTATTCTACGTGCACTTTGAGAACCTACAAAATTATACATAGAACTACGCATAGGAATGTGGAGCCCAAAATTTGGGCCTTTTGACTGAGAAGGCGGCGCCTACGCGGTAGCCCAACGCACCACGGTGCTGAAAGACTGCGCTCACATTGTTTCCCTTTTCAAGTCTTCGCCCTATTGTCGATGACTAATGACATGTTCTCCGTCCCGGTCTCAAATGAAACTATTAAAGGTGACAATTTAATTCATGAAGTTAGGTTCCAAAGAAATTTCTCTCGTTAGCTGCATAGATTATATTCTCCGTCTTCGTTCCTGCTCTAAATTCCTGCCTCGCCTCACTTATATAAGTATTTATTTATTAAAAAATTAAAAGTGGTAACGAATCTCTTGAGTTAACGAAGTTTCGAGAGAATCACAAGTCAATGGAATATTTTTTAGGGTACGTAAAGATCCAAGTCAAGGACTACTTAGGCTACTAAAAAAACTGCATCAACTGTGAATATATCATTTGTTTTCGAGTCACTCACATTTTGTCTTTGTTGGCCTCTGCAATACTCTAATGAGAATAATTGTCATACAGATGAATTAATCGATTGTAAATTGATGATAGTAAATGTAACACCTCTAATTTTCTAAACCTAATTAGCAACGTTACCCAATGCATGCATAATTTATTACGCAGAAGCTCATGATAAATAACTTTGAAAAAACACAATGAATAAAGATTCATAAATCCAAAACAAACCTATCTCCCAAAATAAACTTTCAATAACCGAATTCAAAATAAATCTAAATAAAACCGTACTTAACTTTAAAAAGTCAAATAAACTTAAACTCCTAAAAATATCCCCTCCTCCAACTTTCATAGTGTCCTTAGCTACCCGGTCAACCGTACATTAGCACCCTGCCTTTACTTGAAAAATGAGGTAGCACGTGTCTTGAGTATTTTATGAAATACTCAGTTAGTCACCCCACTGTTTGAATTAGGAATGCAAACACATGCAACATATGAGCGGGACCTAGCTTTTCGTAAACTTTACATAGTCTTGGGCGCTTTTCTATTTCGAGTAGGGTTGGGTGTGTGGTACTCCTTCACACACAGCTCATGTACGCGTACATGGACCCACCAGGCGGGCTCGTATATATATCCCTGGGCATGACTTGGTCGGGCACACGTGTTACACGTCGTCGGACACCACGGAACAGAAAAGGGCCCGCATGATATCATGGGAACATAAATATTGTAATTCATTCTTTCGTATCATAAAGGGGAAGAATCTCGATGCAAGTGACATGCATATATGCATGAGGTCCCTTAACATATCTAACATGACATTACATAAGCATTTCTAAAATCGCATATACGTTTCTTACATTACATGACATCTCACATGACTACAAGACATATTACATAACATGAAAGTACATTCCAGTTGCATAAGCATTTCATGACATGACTCGATAATACTACGTGTATCCATGACATCAATCAACATTTTCATGGCATATATTACTAACATATCATCCATAACTTCACATAACATAAACAATCAACAGTCAACATAATCCATTACATTTCATAGCATAAACAGTCACATAATTCATACATCACAGTCATATCACATAACAAAACATGGTGCATGCAGGGGCCACAAGGCACGCATCATCATACAACACGTAGAAAAATAACTTCAACAGTAAAGTCACTTACCTCGATGGCCTTGGCCGAAGTCACTCACAACAAGCTAATCCCAACGGTTAAATACGTCCTATAATAACCACATAAAAACTTAGGAACCTTTCATAAGGTACTCTAGTTAAATCTCATGTTATTTGTCAAAATAAACTCTCAACCCAATTTGTCTTTAACGGTTAGGAACCATATTAACCTTAGATGGTAAAACTAAGGGCAAAACGGCTTCGAAAGGGCTGAAAACCTTGAAATCAATATATTACAGTGATACTGAG